TGTTCCAACCATAGCTCCAGGCCCTTCCACAGACAGACGGTGTGTGCTGTTAAGATCCAATATCGCACAGTATCAAATTTAGCTGACCCAGCAGGTAAAGCTGATGGAAAAATATGCACGGAGAGCTAGGAAAGCATATGTGAGGTGACTGGCAGAATAGGCACAGAGGACAATGCTTAAGCTAGTCTCCTCCACCAGTAGGGTTAGTTTTTGTATTAAATCCTGAATCAAAGTATACATTATCACTGGTCTGATGATCGAAAAATGTCAGAAGGCAGTTCTGAGGTGAAGCCTGCTGACAGTCCTGACAGTAGCTGCTTATAAAGTCCAGTGATAGGGATTTAAGGGTAAAAGGTTACATTTGGTTTCCAGTTGTTTCCCGCCAAAAGATCTGTCACCAATCCACCACTTAGCTGATCAATGTTCTCCTCTGCAAGAGCTACTTCTCACAGGCAAATCTGCATAGCATCTGAGGCAAATCATCCCAGCAACACCAGGAAGTTTGTCAAATAAGACACAAAGTAGAAAAAAACCCAGCAAGGTAGCACAAAAAGAACACGTACATTTAATTTACCATAACCATTTATTAATAATTGACTTGAATAAACATGGTGAAAGAGCTGACAATCACATGGTGACAATCCCACTTTTCTATTTTTTTCTTTTGTGACCTTAACATTGCATGCTACACAGAGCACATATTACCTAATAACCTTCTCTATCAATTAATTGTCTTGCATAAAACTGTGGTGCTTTTATAGTACTTATGTTACTGAAAATTCACACAAATTTGAGTTATATGTCACATTTGGTAACATCAGGTCGGCGACACAGTGCTGACATAAGCAAAAGGTTTGGCAAATGCTGCTAGCAGTTGTACATTGATAATATTGGCAAAAACCCTGGAAATGCACTTAAACCGTTTCATTTACAGGATTGACAGTCAGTTGAGAAATCATGTTAAGGAACTCCAGGAAATATTCTTAACCCTTGCAGTGGGGCTACCCTACTACAAGGGTTAAGTGTTCATGTTCATTTAAGGTGTAAAATAAAAGTTACATTCACCCAAGCCTTGAAGCCTGCTGGCTGCAAGACTGGTCCCTCCAGCCTGTCTCCTGCAGCATTGGAATGTCCCTTGGCATCCCCACATCCTATACACAATGTATTGGATGTGATGACTCAATGATCCTTAGACCACTGGAGTGGAGATAGAGAGAGGAAGGAAGTAGCAGTCTAAAAGGCAGCCAGCTCTGACGTTCCTGGGGATATAACTTTTTTTATTTTATACCCTAGACCAGGGATAGGCAACCATGGCTCTCCAGCTGTGCTGAAACTACAAATACCATCATGCTTCTGCCTCTGGGAGTCATGCCTGTGGATTGCAATGCCTTATGGGATTTGTAGTTTCAGCACAGCTGGAGAGCCAAGGTTACCTACCCCTGCCCTAGACAAAAACAACCACTTAACCCTTGCAGTGCCCCACTGCAAGAGTTAATAATAATTTTTCCCAAAGTTCTGCTTTAAATCACAACAGAACTTTCAGTTTAAATCTGCTAAATACATTCCAGGTGCATCCAAACAGAAGGTGTGCAAAGTTTTACACTTTGTTTTCCTTAGAAAGCAGCCACAATATAAGTAAAAAGCCTGTCCCCTACCATCATTCTGCAGAAAAGAACCCTTGCTTTCAGTGTGGATGCAGTGGTTTGTCTGAAGTCCAACACACCATTTGCTGAGTCAGAACTGGAGCTCTTCAATCAGCAGGATGCATGAGCTTTGCTAATTGTAAAGCTATAGGTATAGG